GATACTACCAAGTGGCAAAAACGTACCAACTTCTACTCTTACCAGAAGTTTAAGAATGCCTGTCACCAACAGTGTACATTATCAGTCTTTTTAATCTTTGCCTGTCTGATAGGCAAACATATTTCAATGTTGCTTTCATTTACACTTCACTGATTATTAGTGAAGATATGCATCTTTTCATTTACTTATCGGCTGTATGTTCTTTGGGGTACCAAATAAGGTCACATTTCAGTGTGCATGTGTGTGCTCTGTGCATCAAAACATCTCGGGTAAGGTTTGGATAGCCCAGAGCTGCAGCTCTGTAGTCTGAAAACAACCAGGACCCACAGAGAGATGAAATCAAAAGTTTAAGCCCATGAAACCCCTTAGGAATGGACAGAAACATAAATCACACATCTTTTTTTTTTTTTTTTTTTGAGGTGGGGAGGGGCAGAGGGAGAGGGAGAGAGAGAATCTTAATCAGGCTCACACCCAGTGCAGAGCTCCGACGCAGGGCTCTATCTCATGACCCTGAGATCATGACCTGAGCCAAAGGCAGACGCTTAAGGACTGAGCCACCCAGGCACCCCAAATGAATGAAATATTTTTTAAAAATGATGGTCAGAAAAATCTGAGCTGAGGGGTGCATGGGTGGCTCCATCGGTTAGGCGTTTGCCTTCGGCTCAGGTCATGATCCCAGGGTCCTGGGATCGAGCCCCACGTCAGGCTCCTTGCTCAGTGGGGAGCTTGCTTCTCCCCTGCCTGCCGCTCCCCCTGCTTGTGCTTGCTCTCTGTCTCTTTTTCTCTCTAGCTCTCGCTGTGTCAAATAAATAAAATCTTTAAAAAAATAAAAAATAAAAAAGAGAGTTTCCGGGGCGCCTGGGTGGCTCAGTTGGTTAGGCGTCTGCCTTCAGCTCAGGTCATGATCCTGGAGTCAACGGGACTGAGTCCCGCATTGGGCTCCCTGCTCAGCGGGGAGTCTGCTTCTCCCTCTGCCCCTCCCCCTCTCATGCTCTCTCTCTCTCTCACTCTCTCAAATAAATCTAAAAAAAAAAAAAAAAGAAAAGAAAAGAAAACATTTAAAAATAAGAGAGAGTTTCCTTCTCTCTGACAGGGTCCCCCCCACCTTGTTGAAATTAGAATCTACTACCTTAAGTCCATCAGACCACACCATCCACACCATGACCCCACAAGTGGAGACCACAAAGCCTGGAAAGGGAGGAAATCCTGGAAGGGAGGAGAGCACAAAATTCTATGTCTAAACTCTACGCCCCAAAACAAACAAACAAACTCTACCAAAATCTCTGGATACCTGTGGGCCACATGCGTACTGGCTAACTCCAAGCAGCACAGCTAAGGTTAAACAACCTGAACACAAGTTTCAGCTGCTGCCTACATCAGAGAGATAGAGTTTACAGCTTGCTTTAAATATAAATAAAAAATCAACACTCTCCAGAGAAACATAACAGAATCTAGTATCTACAGTCTGTATCATTCACAAGTTCCAAGATAAATCCAAGAGTATTAGACACTGAAGAAACAGAACTAGGTGACCCACACTTAAGAGGAAAGGTAACCGATGGACACGGACTCCCAGGACTAAGTTGTTGGAATCAGCACAGGTTTTAAAGTAGCTACTCTAACTATGCTCAAAGATATGAAGGAAAATATGCTCCCAAGGAAGAAACAGGAAATATGGGAGGAGAGAGACACACTACAATAAAGAACCAAGAGAAAAACACAGTATCTTAAATAAAAAGAATACATCATAACAGTGCAGGAAACAAGAAAAACACGTAAGCGAGGACATCTGTGAAAGTCAATGCAGTGCCCTTCCTGGGTGATCACCAGGATTACCAATCCTAACCACGAAGCAGCCATATAAGTATATACATATTTTTTTTCCCTTACCCTATTACCAGTGCATACCCATCGTGACAAAACCAGAAAAGGGGACCCTGAAGGCACAGTGTGGATTACCGCATCATCAAACTGGCTGGCAAAGGAATGTTTACTATACAGTGACGCTACAGCAGGTCATTGTCATCAGACTACGCACCGAGTCACTGGCACCGCTCTCGACATGGCGCAGAATTCCTTCAAAATAACTACGAAAATGAAACAACCAAATTAAATTTCTGAGGGGCTCATTTGTTAACCAAGCCAGGAAAGCCACTGACTGATGGTGACTTGTGTTTAATTGCAGCAGTTGAAGAAATGTGTCCAGAGAAAATAAATTTAAGACTCTCGGCCTTTTGGAGAACAGTCCTAAAAGCTAAGGGCACTGGGAGCAACATCAAGTCAATTAAAAATGAGGCAAATGATGCGAAGTGATTTCCCTTGAAACTTGATGAATCCAACCGATGTTACTGATATTGCTCAGGTGTCCTTCTGAAAGGTCAATGCCTCGGCCCTGAGCTGGGAAGGGACAGAAGAGTGGGCCTGTGCGCAGTCTGTGTAGAACCAACAACTGCAGGCAAGAATATTTTCAGAGCTGAGAAAACACGAATTCAGTAGACCATGGATTGGAATCTGCTAATCCATGTTACGGCAAATTCTCTACGGAAATTGTTTGCGTCTCTCATCAGTATTGACTCTAGTGCTGATGTCAACAGTTAACTTCATTTGCTGTCCTGCACTTAACCAGCACTAACAGATGCATATTTGCAATCTATTTTGATGACCAGAAATGCTAACTTTGAACCCCAGGTCAGCAAAATGATATCCATTCTTTTCATCAGTAGACCCCCATTACAAAATGCTGTACTCAATTACAATTACATTTTGAATTTTGTTTATAAAAAAGTGGTAGAAGTTTGTTTTCTTAGATTTTGACTCTCGACCCACAGAGTCTAAAATATTTACTATCTGGGCCTTTACAGAAAATGTTTGTAAACCCCTGAAATTGACTATCATTATCACTTTACACATGAGGAAATGAAGGCAGAGGCTCTGCAGTCCGACCAAGGTCTCACAGCTAAGAAGCAGATACGCAGGCCAACTTCAGAGCACGTGACCTTCACCACTGACCCAACAGCAAACACCCACAGAAGAGCTGAGGAAATAAAACTGATGGAAAACAAAACAAGACAAAACAAAAAAACAAGAACTGATGGCATAAACAGAAGCTCCTAAAGGCAACTCCCACATTATAAAACTTCATCAGTATAACCAGAACAAGCTGTTTTGGAAAACAACCAATTAGAGATGAGGGGCTCAGGACCTGGTCTACATGTCATGGCAAAAAGAAAGCCTTCAGTGTTGGGGCACCTGGGTGGCTCAGTCAGCTAAGAAGCTGACTCTTGATCTCAGTTCGGATCTTGATCTCAGGGTCGTGAGTTCAAGCCCTGCACTGGGCTCCAGTGTGGAGCCTACTTAAAACAAAACACCATTTTGTCAAACTTCAAGATTAATCATTTCCGGAAAAGATACCAAGTCTCAAAAATGTACAAATCTGTATCAGAGGTATGAGTTCAAATCCCATGATTTCATGAGTGAGACTCTGTTATTAAGAGATTTGGAAAAGTCATTAAATCCGAGGTCCTTAGCAAGAAATCAATCCACCTACAAACTACCATCCCGTCCCCCTCTAGTCTGGGACGTCCTTTTTCTTTTGCAAGTGAAAAGATGAAGGAAGAAAGTAGAAATATCTTCTATCTAATAAATTTACTGCAGTCCTAGGAAATAACAGAAATGATAAACTGAAATCCATGTTATTAGCAATTCTGTGACCAGGAGAGCCCTAAGTATGGCAGTAGTTTGGTGTTTACTTCTCAAAGCATTTAAAATACTGAAAAAACGCTCTCCTGCTGCAGCAGCATGAGTGGGAGGACCAGGCGCTGGGCTCAGAGTCAACTCCATGGATCGCTTTGAGAAAATGGCAAAAGCTGGACACGGGGGAAATCGCCAGCTTCGAGAAGGCCAAGCTGGAGAAAACAGAGACGCTGGAGAACACCCTGCCAACCAGACCACTGAGCAGGAAAAGCAGAGTGAAATTTCCTGGAGTGCCTGGGTGGCTCAGTCGTTAAGCGTCTTCCTTCAGCTCAGGTCATGATCCCAGGGTCCTGGGATCAAGCCCTGCATCAGGCTCCCTGCTCCACGGGAAGCCTGCTTCTCCCTCTCCCACTCCCCCTGCTTGTGTTCCCTCTCTTGCTGTGTCTTTCTGTCAAATAGATAAACAAACTGAGGGTTGCTGGAGTGGTGGGGGGTGGGAGGGATGGGGTGGCTGGGTGATAGACATTGGGGAGGGTATGTGCTATGGTGAACGCTGTGAATTGTGCAAGACTGTTGAATCACAGATCTGTACCTCTGAAAAAAAAAAAAAAAAATTTTTTAAAAAAAAAAAAAAAAAAGAAGATAGGAGGGGAAGAATGAAGCGGGGGGAAATTGGAGGGCGAGACGAACCATGGGAGACGATGGACTCTGAAAAACAAACTGAGGGTTCTAGAGGGGAGGGGGGGTGGGGGGATGGGTCAGCCTGGTGATGGGTATTAAAGAGGGCACCTTCTGCGTGGAGCACTGGGTGTTATGCACAAACAATGAACCATGGAACACTACATCAAAAACTCACGATGTGATGTATGGTGCTTAACATAACAATAAAAAATTTTAAAAAATAGCTAGGAGAAAACACATATATAATAAATCCTACTTCAAATAATAAAAATATGTCTATGCAATAAAAAAAGAAAAAAGATAAATAAAATGTTAAAAAAAAAAAAGAAAGAAATTTCCTAAGAACCTAGGGGATTCCCCACCCTCGTCATCTTCGAGACCCCCCTGGTCGTGATGTGGAGGAAGAGCCACCTGCAAGGTGGACACTAGTGACAAGCTGCACTGTGGACCCGGGCACACTGTGCCGACACCACCAGCCTGCGGCTGTCTGAGGGGACCGCCCCTCAGGCCGACCACCAAATTCTCCAGTTTGCCCTGGGATTTTATAGCAAATTATTTGATGATTAATAAAAATAAAACATACTTCTTGGCCAAAAAAATAAATAAATAAAACACTGAAAAAGCAGTACTGGACTTTCCATTTTAATTAAATACTCAGAATAGATGGTGGTAAAATAAGTTTACAATTAACAGTTAAATACTTAGGGACATCCGATGTACTACATTATAAAATGTTACTTTATAAGCTGTGCAAACGGGGTACATATTTAAGAAGGGTAATGAAGAGAGAATGTCTGTTAGCCAATACACATATGACATTGCTGAGCAGGACATTAAACGGATCACCCTTCCTTCTGCATCCCCCATCCCACACACAAATCTCCCTGCACGTAACGGAGCTCAGCCACTGACTGCCGACGGGCTACAGCTGTGGCACCGTCACCGGCGCCCCCGAAAGGGCTAGCTTTTCGCCACGCCAGCCAAGACGTTTCGGGACAAACAGTTCACACTCCTGGCTGGGAATCTAGCCTGGGGAACAAGGTAAGCAGACAACGGCACGGCTGGGCCCGCCTGGGCCTAGTCCCTCCAGCGGTGCCCACACTGAGCACTGCAGCATTTGTAGAAGGTGGTCATCGGCTCGTCTGCAGAGCGGGTCTGAAGCTGCATGAAATAGGCACGGGGGTGTTCGCACTTAGGACATGGCTCTGGCAACGAGAAAAACAAGTGACCCACATTATTTAAAAAAAAATAGGATGCTCATGACCAAACATACCTGCTAGAAGTAGGTGTTATGGAAAGGCAGCAAAGACCCTCTCCGGGCCCCATGCATCTGGCAAGCCTCACCTAGGGTACCCTGTACCGTGATTGAGGCTACAGTTAGTGGTATCACTCCCACTACGCTCTCACCACGAGGGAATCAAGGAGACCTGTGATCTGGAAAACACTCCAGCTCCCCACCCTGGGTCCCATTTTTCTTCTCAAATCTGGTTGAAGACTGGCTGGAAACATAACAAGGAAAGTGATTTATGGCTACCATGTGCATTATGGGGTCCACCCCCTGCAGATGCTTCTAAGTGCACTTCCATCACTTGGGCCCTCTCAGCCTCCCAGAGGAGCCCCCAGTGGACGATGAATCCACTTCCCTTTAAATTTAGGGATCCTTTTTGGCAGCAGTTCCTCAGGCTGTTCTTACAAAGATCCCACCATACATTCTGCACCTATGTCAAGGCAACGTGACTTCACTTTGAGAAACTACCTCTACTCTTGATAACACCTTCCAACACTCTCAACCACCATTTTAAACACTGGGTACATAATTCATCCTTTTTTTTAGCAAATTCTGCCAATGCTAATTGCACCATATCAGATTTGTATGGTCTTCTATCAGGGAAAAAAGATAATAGTAAACAGGAGTTGGCTCTTCCTCCCCTCAGTACAGGTGTGTTTAGGCCTCTCCTCTTTCCCTCCTTGGTCATGTCTACCTCATTCAGATATGGAACGAGACGTGAAATAAGCACTTGAATGCTCTCTGGCACTGACTTTTAAAAATCTACACCAGAACAAACAGCTCCTATTTCTTCCTTAGGCTCTTTCACTACTCCTGTGACCATCGCATCATCATGGCTACCTCTTAACGGAGTGCACTGGATGCCCGATGCTGTATGACTCACTTTACGCTCTCACACTCAGTGAATATGGAATAGCCCCAGAAAGAGCAAGGGAGGCCACCAAGGTCATAAAATGTTAGGAGGTCACTGCGAGACTCTAACCCAGGCCTGCACAACCCTGGGGCTTGTGCCAATACTGTCTAACAAATAAATTACTAAGGAAAAAATAAACACACTTTGTAGTTTTAGAAGCTCCCTTCCTCCCGGTACACCACTGAGTCAGACACAGGCCAGTGGCCTCCTACCTCTCCACAGCTCAGTAACAGAAAAGGTTCCTCCTCACCTGCGGTAGAGTCAACATTCTCCCAGGCTGCTGCTCCGCCAAGCACATCATCCACTTCTTTCAGCTTTGGATACTTCCGATTTGTTACCTAACAAACAACAGCAGGTCTTCAGGCTCCAAATAAGTGAAAAGTACATACCTGGGCCACCACACCCTATCTGTCAAGTGTCTCCGCAGATTTCCTTCCTTCAACACAGACTACTAAAAGAATCCAAAGTTTCTACTCTCACAGAGCAGGACTCAACACTGGAATTTAAAGAATCCAGGTTTGGGGTGCCGCCCAAAAGAGGAAGATTCAGTGGTGTGGAGTTATTCTCAGAAAACGTATCCTAGGGGCGCCTGGGTGGCTCAGTGGGTTAAGCCTCCGCCTTCGGCTCAGGTCGTGATCTCACCGTCCTGGGATCGAGTCTTGTGTCTGGCTCCCTGCTCAGAGGGGAGTCTGCTTCTCCCTCTCCCTCTGCCCCTCCTCCCCGCACTCATGCTCGCGCGCTCTCTCTCTCTCTCGCTCTATCTCAAATAAATAAAACCTTTTAAAAAAAGGAGAAAAGAAAGAAAATATATCGTAAGCCCTCAGGAGTGATTGTGGAAGCAGCTGAAATGTCAGCAGCGTTCCTGTTCTCAGGCTATTGAACGCAATGGTCCAGTAGGAGCATTGTGCCCCATGATCCCCAGGGGCAGGGCACAGGCTAGGAGCTAGGAAAGAACGTCACCCTCAGTGCCCCCTTCCTGCACCTGGCGTTTGCTGGCACAAACACCCCCTCTTCCCTTATCCCACGACGGCCTCCCTGCGTGCCTGCGAGGAGGAGAGGGTGCAGGCCTGCTTCACAGCGTCAGGAGATTTGCCATCCCTTTGTCCTCCTTTCCCACGCTTTGGGGCATCTGCCCTTGCTTTTCCGATAAAAAATGAAATAAAAGCGATGTGCAGAACCCAGCTGCTGCTGCCCTACTTGCAGAGATAGTCCTGCATGGCCGCTCAGATTGGGGTCTGAGGACTTTATTTCAGCGCAGTGACCACACGGCGGTGAGGTCTCTGCAAGGACTGGATGACACACCAGAGCAGGAAGGAAAACCGGGTAGATGGGACCCTCCCCCTTCGCCCCCACCTCTAGGATACTAGATTACCCAAGATGAGAGAAACACAACTGAAGCCAAACAGCACCACTTAGCTGGAGAGCCCCGCCAGACAGCTTTCAAAGCAGATCACACTCGGCTTTCTTCCCGAGTTTTACCAAGTATCCTTGAAATTTCAGGGTTACCTAAGAGTTCACTCTTCCCGCAGTTTCTGATGCTAAACTCTCACAACATTAAGAAGTTCTCTAGTTCTAAAAAGTAGAAGCGTGCTAACAAAGATTATTACGGGAAAACAAATTGTAACGACACTGAATGCATTATTCATGTACTGAACATCCACTCCATTCTAGGTTCAGACTAGACAGAACCTAAGAGGCAACAAAACAGAAAAACCCCTACCCTCCTACACCTTATGTCCTAGCATCGAGAAACAAAACACTAAAGTCTCGGAGTACACTGGAAGGTAATGAGTCCTTTAGAAAAACCTAAGACAGGGAAGGCGGAAAAATGGCGGGAGGGGCTGAAGTTTTACACGGGGCAACCCTTTAAGTACAGACAAGCCCAGCAAGTGGCATGGCCACCCAGAGGAAAAGTAAATCGAGCAGAAGGCATGTGCAAAGGCCCCGGCAGCAGCGCCCCGTGCGCGGTGGGGCCCCTCGCAAGAGAACGGTCTGGCTGCGGACAAGGCATGCACTAGAACGCCGCACCAGACACGCAAGCTCCGAGGGAGGGGTCGGTGTCAGAGCCTGCTGGGTCCGGGGGATGCGCTGGGGAGCTCCGGAGAGCTCCCGAGCACAGCACCGGCTCCGACACTGTCCGCCGGGAACGCAGCGCCGGGAGCCCCAGCGCGAGGTCAGGACCGGGACTCAGGAGAGGCGACGGGGCGGGGCCCGAGGTGGCGGCACGGAGGGGGGGACACACGGCCGCATCCTGCGGGCGCTCGACCGCACAGGCTCCGCACCCGACAGGCTCCGCAGCCGACCGCAGGCGGCGGCGAGAGCGAGGACGGCCAGAGGCGGACGCGGGGCTGGTGGGCCGGGAAGCGGGCTCCGGGCCCCACCCCTGACCTTGCGGGTGATGTTGTGCACGTAGGGGCAGGTGTTGCAGGCGAAGCGGTGGCAGCGCTGTCCCTCCTCCACGATCAGCCCGTTCCCGCAGCCCGGGCAGAAGAGCAGCATGGCACAGCCGGCTCGGCTCCGCAGGCTCCCGGCAGCCCCTGCGGCCGCCGGGCGCCGGCGCTGGGCCCGCCTCGAGCTCCCATTGGTCCGGGCGGCCGCCCCACCCTCCGGCCGACCAACGGACAGGCCGACGTCGCGCTCCCAGCAACCGCTGCGGCAGGCCGCTTCGAGCTTCTCATTGGTCCTCGTGGCAGCCCCGCCCCCTGGCGGTCCCAGGGGCTGGGCTGCGGTCCCAGCGTCGGTGACGCGCGCGAGCCGGCGGTGCGGGCGGAGCGCGGGAGCGGAGAGCTGCTCTGGAGCCGGCCGAGGCGGAGGCGGCCGTGCGGCCCGAGGCGGCCGAGGACGATGAGGACGAAGAGGAGGCGCTACCGCACTCCGAGGCGGTGGACGTGTTCCAGGAGGGTCTCGCCATGGTCGTGCAGGACCCGCTGCTCTGCGATCTACCGATCCAGGTGCGCGCGGGCGATGGGGGCCGCCGGGGCCGGGGTCGTTCCCCGCGGGGCCGTGCGCCGGGGCGCGGACGGACCTCGGGAGGTCCCGATGGGGGGCTGCGGCCCAGAGGCCTCAAGAAGGCGCCTCTGGGCTCCAGCGAAGGTCTTGCCTGGGGCTGGGGGGGGCGGGGGCGAGCGAGGCTCCCACCTGGCGCGCAGAATTTAAGGGGGCGCCCCAAAAAACACTCGTCGGGATACATGACCTTGTAATACACGTTTTCAAAGCTCAAAGGGCGTGTGAAAAAGGCTCTAGCAAACGAGACAGCGAAACTTGGCGTGAAGACGAGATCGGTGTTGATGGCTTTTCATTTATCTATCTTCAGTATGGTTCGGCACAGTCCTGTCTTTAAATCTTTGCTAATTTGCCCCTCTTGGAGTTTTAAAGTTCACCTGTATTTCTTGTTAAGCTGGTTCAAAATGTTTATATTACTGTTTTTTCGGTGCCCTGGTAAATCTTGCACACCTGCCTCAACTCAAGCGTTGCCCTGGGCCTTGGACTGACAAGTGTTCTTACTCCTACCCAGCCCCAGAACCCAGATCTGATCCTCATCCTCCTGTCTGTATACTTCTCTTTTGCCGAGCTTTTATCCACTTTGGACATTAAATACAAAATGTGGGTGGAACTGGGAAACCCTAACATATAAGCATGAAATCTGTTTCTTGTCCTTCATAAAACATGGTATTGCTTTTTGGACACTATCAGCTCGTTTTCTTTGGTTGTTGTTTGGGATAGTAAAGAGAGCCAAGGTTCCCATCTCCACGCTTGGTCTTTTTGTAGGTGACTTTGGAAGAGGTCAACTCCCAAATAGCATTAGAATACGGCCAAGCAATGACAGTCCGAGTGTGCAAGATGGATGGAGAAATAATGCGTAAGTGTTCGCCTTCTCCCTTTGGACCTTGCGGTCGGAGCTTCCACACAGGCAAGATGCTGACACGGCTGCTCACGGGGAAACTCGGGGCCATGTCCCAGGGTCCTGGGCCAACCACAAGCCTACTCCACCTGGACTTGAGTCTCCGTCCAAGAGAGTCTGGACAGAGCTTCTGGGTTCCTTTCATGCCATCAGAGGCTGTGGCCGTGGATTCCCACCATGGCTGTCCTCCCATTTGTGTTGCAGCTGTGGTTGTGGTACAGAATGCCACAGTCCTGGATCTGAAGAAGGCCATTCAGAGATATGTGCAGCTCAGGCAGGAGCGTGAAGGGGGCATTCAGCACATCAGCTGGTAAGTGGAGCGGCAGGAAGGGCTGGTGGCGCATGAGCACCTGTTGCATGTGTGCCGCAAAGTACCGGTGAGTTCTGAGTTCCCTGTCCCAAGCCTTCCGGCGTGGTGGGTGCCTCCATGCCTGGGAGTCCTGCCTCAGCTGCTCTTTCATCTACATCACCCCACCCGGGCAGCTGGGTTTCTTAAACGGGGGGCATCTCAGGGCATTTCCAGCGTCTGTAAGCGGTCTCCCTAGCTGTCAGTGGCCCCACCCCATCTTCACTAGGGTGCTCTCCTCACGCCTGTTGGGTCAGGCGTTCAGTTGTCTGTGTCTCGGTACTGCCGCCTATTTCGTAAGGTGTGTTTGGCCCCTAGCTACCCAACACAGCCCTTTTGAGCAGTGCCTCCTTAGAGCTGCCTCAGCCCATCTCACACACAGCCCCTGTGTCCCAGCTGCCCAGTGACCGTGCTTGTGGTTTACCTGAATCCTCGTCTGAATCTTGCAGGTCCTATGTGTGGAGGACCTACTACCTGATCTCTGCAGGAGAGAAGCTCACAGAGGACAGGAAGAAGCTTCGGGAGTAAGTTCAGGGCACATTCTGAGTTGCTGGGAGGCATCTGGTCTGTTGCCCTCTAGTTCCCCAAGCTCGGCCAGAGGGCTGGGGCCTCTTCCCAGGAAGGAGGAGTCTTAAATCAGTTACTGGGGAATCTGCAAGACCTGGGGAGTCCCTGGCTGGACTGATACCCTCCCTGCAAGGAGTTTCCTGGGGGCCCTCCCTACTGGAATGGGAGACCTGGGGGCAGTGTGACCATTGCTCTCCAGGGGCAGTGAAGGGCTTCCCGGAGCGAGAGGAAGGCAGTGTGTGCAGGTGAGAGGCTGCCCACTGGCACGATGGGGGTCTTGAGAGGGTGGCCACTGCCACTTCCCTACCTTCCTGCACGCAGGGCTCTCCCTACCCCTTCCTTCTTGGTCCCTCCCAAGTCTCAGGTGAGGAGTCCAACCTACCTTCTGCAGATCACACACTCTAGCCCTCCTCCTTTTCCAGTTACGGTATCCGGAATCGGGATGAGGTGTCCTTCATCAAAAAGCTGAGGCAAAAATGAACCTCCAGACAAGGACAGCTCTGTGCTGGTGGCCTGTGCCCAGCTGGGACACAGCTGAGCCCTAGGTCCAAACAACCAAATCATGTGGCAAATGGGCCTGGCCCTGTGTACAAAATAAATCTACTTGTTTCTTAGTTTGAAAAGTCAGAAAACCACAGTTATCTGGGGCAGGAGGGACTGCTGCTGCCCAGTCACGGAGGGGAAGCAAGGGCAGAAATCGGTGCAGGTGAATCCAAAGGTCTAAGATGCTTCATTTGAGCCCCGTGCCCACCATCAGCTAGCCATAAGACCCTTTTACTGTGGTTCCTACGGCAAGGGGAAATAAAAGCAGATGGCTGGCTTTCTGTGGGTGCTTGTGGGGAAACAAGGGCCTCGCATCCAACAGTGTATGGATGAGGTCTCCAGCCTCAGCTCACAGGGTTCACCGATAGCAACACCCTTCACCCTTTGGTTCCTGCAAAAGGAAGTAGCCTGTGGCTGAACTTGGAACTGCTGGCTACAGAGGGAGCGCTGGGGTCAGGGTGCTTCTCCGTGGGGGCGGGGGGACGAATGTGACAGCAAAGCCATGGGTTCTTCTATCCTTGTCAGCTGCCAGTCACCCTAAGGAAGGGGGGGGACAAGGTACAGCCATCCACCTGGCTGAGGGGCTTTGCTGGGAGGTACACCTGACACTTAGTTCCCCGTTCTGGGGGACTGTAAGTGGGAGGGGAGGGTGGGGAAGAAGCCTGAAGGACCTCCCTCCACGGCCCTAGCCGGAAACCAGAGACAGGAGGCAGCTCTGATAAGTTAGTGGCAGCTAAAACGCTCCCGGTCCATTTATTGGCCACATGAGGTGGTCGTCCAGAAACTAGTTAGAAGGTAATCATGGGAACTAGTATAATAAATGCCCCGAAGTACGAGACGACGTTCACCAGCGGCGAACAAGGCACAAGAGGTGAGTGTTCAGGAAACGGGCCGGCCCGCATACAGGGCTCGCAGGCCGAGTCCTGTGGCCTGTGAGGCTCGGGGCGGACAGTGTGCCCGGCCCTGGCCCTGCTGGGGCCCACAGCCCCAGGGCCCCGGCCAGCTCAGTGGAGCTGGGCGTCCAGCTCGTACTTCTCACAGAACTTGTCAGTGAAGGGGATGCAGGTGAGGACCTCACACCACTCACAGCGGACGGGGTAGAAGTAGAAGAGGACCACCAGGCCGGCCAGGAGGCCCAGGAAGACCACCTGAAAGACGATGATCTGGCAGCGCTTGCGGTACAGGTCAAACTTGCCGAAGCTGATGTAGGGCAGGAAGGCAAAGGACAAGAAGAGGCCGCTAATGAAGCCCGAGATGTGAGCGAAGTTGTCGATCCAGGGCAGCAGGCCGAAGGTGAACAGGAAGAGGACCACAGCCGACAGCTTGAAGAAGGCACGCCACGGCCGGGCCAGGACCTGCCAGCTCTGGAAAAGCTCCACGAACAGGCAGGCCAGGATGCCAAACTGCGAGCCGGCTGGGCCCACCTGGCGACAGCGTGGGTGCCCATGAGCTGGCGAGGCTGAGCAGACCCACACCCACCCCCCGCCTGGACCCAGAGAGCCCCCTCTCCCCACCCCGCCTCCCACGGCCCAGAGCGCATCAAGATGGGAGGAGCCAAAAGGAGAGGCCCCCTGCCCAGGCTGGACTCTCCGGGGACCCAAACCCAGTGCCAGACATGGACCCAGTTGAGGATGGGCAGCAGGAGACTCAGGAGGGTGCCCGCCCTGGGGGATGGCCCTACCTCTGCTCGGTATGGCAGGAAGATGGCACTGGCCAGGTTACCGGTGACACCACTTAACAGGTAGATGATGGCGATGCGATGCCAGCCTGCCAGCTTCTCCAGGTCCCGCAGGACGGTCATCTGGAAGCAGACGGACACCAGGCAGTGCAGGATCCTACGGGGGGGGGCGGGCGGTACTCAGCAGGGAGGGCACCCTTCCCCATCTCTGGCCAGCCACGCCTAGGGTCCCCGGGGCCACTCACCCCACCTACCCCAGCTCAGCCCACAGGGTATCACTTGCCCAGCGTGCAAGAAGAGGGACAGCCACAGGCGGTAGAACTGGTCAGGCACCTCAGGGTTGAGGAAGGGCAGGAGCCCACACACGTCATCCATGCAGTGCACCTGTGCAGAGCGGCCCATCAGCACCCATGTGGCTGGGGGAAGAGGGGAGGGACACTCGCCCCAGAGGCCTACCTGCGAGCACAGTGTGGCCTCCTCGTGGAAGTAGCCCCTCATGAAGTCACAGTACTCCCGGGAGGTGATCTCACACCTGGAAGGTCAGGCCAGGGTTGAGAGGGCTTGGAGAGGGGCCTGCTGGGGCCCAGGGGCAGAGGCACCTGACTGCCACACAGGCGCCTTGGTGTATCAGGTTATTTCCGAACGTGGTGAGGGAGAGGGACCCCAGGGCAATGTTCTGCACCCAGGACGGGCTGTGCACACGAGCGCACCTACCTGCCCTTTGTGCCAATGCAGCAGGGCCGGCCCGTGAGGACACAGTCCATGTGCGGGTGGTTTGTGTGGTTCCCAGCGCTGTTTTTGGTGCAGATCTGGGTCACAAATGGGGGTGAGTTGGGTTAGGGTCACCCCCAACCCGGGGCCCCACACCATGCTTGGGGACTGGGGCAAAGATGAACAGGTCCTAGGGTAGGAAACCGGCCTCCCTTGACTTCAGGCATGCTGCCACACCCTGAGACTCCGATGAGCCATCTGTCTAGTTGGAATAATGTCACTTGACCTCCCAAGCAAGCTTCCACCTACTTCTCCCGTTCTGGCTGCCTGCTCAGAGAAGCAGGTGTTGGGAGGTAGACAGGCTGGGCAAAGGCCTGGGGCACAGCATCTGAATATGCAGGGTGGTCCCATGATGGCGATCTCTCTGGCATCACTAATGGATGAAGTGTGGATTTCTCCCCAACATGACAAGGGTGACTCCAAACAACCTTTCACTCTGGCTCACCGGCCACTTGGTGATGTCATCTGGCCACTCGTGGGGGTCCTCTGAGGAGGGCTCATCACACACCCTGCGAACCCAGCATGTGGTCAGACCCCGCTTTATCTTGTTGGCATCCACACCTGTCCAACTCGACAACCCCCTGGGGGCTATACCCTCTCCCCCCACACCCCACAGAGCCATGGGTTAAGGTGGTGAAGGCGGGAGCGGGCAGCAAAACTGACCTGGGGTCCTGGTGGCAGACAGAGCCAAACTGCCTCTTGTGGCCGGCAAGGTCTGGGGCACTGGGGTGTAAGGGCCACTTCACCCACACTGCCAGTGTGGACTGTGGGAGACACAGGGTCAAACCCTGGTCAGAGCCCACCCCTTACCAGCGCCGTCAACAGGACGCAGGAATCAGAAGCAAAGCCACTGAGACTCTCACCCTTACCCACAACCCAATCTCAATGAAATTACACTCCAGAAATGTGTGGGCATGTTGGGAGACCTAACAGGATCTCAACGGCAGAATTCCTATTAGCGTCAGAATAGAAACCACCACAGTCCGGGAACTGGTATAAACTACAGCACCTCCGCACAAGATGATGTGATAAAAACCTGGATCGGGGGCGCCTGGGTGGCTCCGCCGGTTAAGCATCCCACTCTTCGTGTCAGCCCCGGTCATGATCTCAGGGTCCTGAGACCGAGCCCTGCGGCCAGCTCTGCGCTCAGCGGGGAGTCTGCTTCTCTCCTTCTGCCCCCGCCCCCCGCTTGTGCTTTCTCTCTCTAAATAGATCTTTTTTTAAAAATTAAAAAAAAAAAAAAAAAACTTGGATGAATCTTTTTTGCTTTTTGGGTCTCTTTTAATTGCTTAGGGGAAAGAATACAGCACTACCACTTGTGTCAGAAACAAGATGCACACATGCAGAAAGAGCACCCCCAAATCAACGCCTGGCTACAACTGTCTGTGATGTGAGAAGCAGGAGATGGGGGAGGCAGGGAATGAAGGTGAACGGAGGGCCCTTGCTTTGAGCCACAAACATACAGCGGTGGGGGCACCCACCGAGCACTCCTCCTCCGATGTCTGCACGCACCCTGACTGGTCATTGCGCACGCAGCAGGCCGAGTGCTTCTCACGCTCCCGCGCGGCGCGGATAAAACTGTGCACCTGCGGGTCCTGGCGCATGCAGGGCGAGAACTTGGCACCGAGGTGAATGAGAGCCTCCTGCGGAGGAGTGGGATGTGCAGCGGTGGCCCCGGTCCCCTGCCAGCCCGGGGTTCCCACCCTCCGGTGCCCACAAGGCCCTGCCCTCACCGAGCTGGGCCCGATCCAGAAGTTCTCCTGCTGCACATACTTGACGTTCTCATAGACGCCGCGGTTCCGCAGGACCTGGAAGGTTGAACAAAGAGATGAGACAGATCCCACTCCAGCCCTCTCCTCCCAGGGTGAAGCAGGAGGGAGTTCAGAGCCTAGACTCCAAGGGTCTCGGCTGGGGAGGGTGCCAGGGCTCACCGAGTCCACGGTCTCATGCTGCGAGAAGCCCACAGGCGCGATGCCATAGATGCACACGGCTAGAATGGTGACGAGCGAGTGCACGAAGGTGAGCCAGTAGGTGAAGAAGGGCCTGCAGGGTGGAGCGTCAGCAGAGGCGGCATCCCCAACCCAGAGAACCCACCCCCAACCTGGAGCTTTGCCCGCTCGAAGCTGCAGCCCACCCCCACACCCCCACGCCATGCCTACCTGTGGTCATCCATGTCCTCGATCTGACGTTTGACATAGCTGTCGATACGCTTGCGGTAAGTGCGGTTGGTGAGCCGGCCTACCATGCCCAGCCCGTACGGCCGCTTCTCCCTGGCAAAGAACTTGCGCACGGGCATCGCGATGCGCTGGCCCCGCCGCTGACCCGCCGTGCTCACTACCTCCTGCCGTAGCCGCACCTTAGGTTGCGGGGCCGCTGCTCCACCCTCCTTCTGCTTCCGCCAGCCTCGTTCTAGGGGCCTGGGGGGAAGGGGCACAGTCAGCACCCCGCCCTAGATGCCCGACCTGCTGCAATCCCTCCTGCATGGGGCTGACCCTCCCGCTCTGTCTTGCTCCTGTCTAGCAGTGAAGGCACCGTCTGGTCATTCAGCCTCCTCCCAACCAGTAAAAGCAATCCTGAGCCCCTCTGGGGTGGAAGAGGTAGAACCTGACCTACGTGAGGTTCCCTGACAGTCTGCAAGTACTAATCCCAACCCTCTCCTGCTCCCTGCGGGGCTCTGCCCAGCCTGTGGGTTCTGGGATCGTGTGCCCGTCCCGCAGGTGGGCAGCTGAGCCTTGGAGGGTGCCCGGCCCTGGGTACCACAGCCACGGTGCACAGGCTGGGCTCACACTCCACAATCCTTCCCTCGGCCTCCCCTCCCCACGGGCCAGTGGCACTCACAGCATCATATGGCTGCGCTCAAGTTCACTGCGGTCCAGGGCCCCACCCGTGAGGTCGGCCTGCTCTGTGGCTTTCTCCCAGTCCTTGAGCGCTGCCTCCGAAGGGGACTCGAACACCTCGTCTGGGTACGTGGACAGCTCCTCATGGAGGACTCCTTCCTGAGCAAACACAGGCGATCAGGGTGGGACACGCAGACAGAGGGGTGGCAGGTGATACCCCTGTGCTCTTACCCGGGCAAAGAAGGACGTGTCCAACTCGTCGGGGAAGTCAGCCGTGTCCTCCTCCAGGAAGCTGGCAGGAGTAAAGCTTCGGCGCTGCGCCCGGCGCAACGTGCCATCCCTGACAGAGCGGCCCTGCCAGCAAGGAGGTGAGCATGCGGCGTGCCGGCCGCCGCGTTCCCAGCCCACCCTGGCCCCCGCACCCACCTTCACCAGGGCCGCGGCCGCCCGGAAGCTCATCTTGGCCACCGATTCGCGCTTGCGTCGCCGCGGGAACCGGCTGCAGCCCGAGCGGGAGCTGGAGAAGGAGCAGAAGGAAGCGGCACCAGGCGTGACAGGCGTGTGCGGGGTACTCAGGCCGTCGGCCGTGTCATCCGCCACGCGGAAGGCCCGGCCCCGGGCCAGGGGGTCTACGATCTGGCAGATGGAAGGAGACGTAAGAGTCCAGGCCTGGGCCGTGGCTGTGGGGGCCCCTTCCCCACCCTAGACCCCAGTGTGGAGAACATAGCTGCCCCTCCTCCCACCCCCCAGCAGGTCCCTGAATGGCTGTGCAGGAGCCTAGGCGGGTCCCCATCCTCACCCACGGGGCCTTTACACTGCTGTGCATCCTGGGATGGTCTCCCATCCCGATCCCAGGACCCTGTCCCCTCCCCCAGGCCCCAGTTCCCAGAGAGTATCTTAGGTGCCTTTCTGGGACCATGTGACCGCCCCGCACGCCAGCAGCTCTGCGGAGTCTCCTGTCTTCAGGTCGGCCGTGTCCCCAGCCCCGGCCCAGGGAGCAGACAGAGAGGCTGGTGGGAGGCAGCAGGGCTGGGTGGGCATACCTTCTGCATGCCCAGCTGGCATGGCCCCACGTACAGCGGAGGGGGCGTCTCAGTGCTGGCCAGAGACACGTTGTCCTGGCTGGGTAGGTCCAGCTCCCGGATGACCTGGGGCTTCAGCTTTCCGTAGCGCTGGCTGCAGTGGCGGATGCTTTTCCGCTGCCACTTCTGGGTGCTGTCACTGTCCTTGCTCACTCCGAACCAGTCCGCGGTGCCCCTGCCACGGGAGGGTCTCAGCAAGGGGAAGCCAGGTCTTCCCCCGGCCCCGCCAGGGCGGACATCGTGCCCCAGCCCAAGCCTCCAATCACGCCTGGGTCCCGGGGCCAGGGGCCAGGTGCGCTGGGTCTAATTAAGAGGATGGGTGGGTTCCAGCCCTGGCCACCCCCTAAGCAATTAGCCAACTCCAAATTCCCACTAGAAGCGCAGATGGCAGGCCTTTGCCCAAGTGAGTATTTTACACCGATCCTCAGCCCATCCCGGAGAGGGGGGTTCATGGGGAGACAGAGTCCACAGATGGCACGCAGAGCTCAGCCCTTCGCCAGAGAGCTTGGCCCCAGGCAGCAGCTTGACCTCAGACACCACAGAACTCAGGCAGTGGGCACGGCAAGGCCAGGCAAGCTGTGCACACCTCTTGGACATGCAAAGGAAAACACCACCAGGACCTGCTGTTAGGAACCCCAGGGAACACCAAAGGCACTGGCAGCCCCCAAGAGATCGCAAGCCATGCACACGCCACCTGACGTCCACACACTCACGCCCTGCCCCAGGTACCTGAGCAGGGACCGAGAGAGAGAGCGGCGCTGTGGCAGAGCCCTGCGGGCAGCAGAGGGACCCAAGAGGGGCAGAGTGTGGACACGCCCAGAGCGCACCTGCCGGCTGTCCAGGGACCAGGGCGTTGGGATGGGAGAGACAGAGAAGGAGACGGGGTGGTGGTGGGGAGCAGGGAAGGTGGCAGGTGAGAGCAGTTGGTCCCCAGAACAGGAGGAGGACAGGGCGACATGGGGAACAAGAGGGACCCTGGCTCCAGTCCCAGCCCCGTACCCAGAGGGGACACTTCTGCCTACCTCGGCCCCCCGGCCCCCCGGCCCCCACGGGCAGAGCCGCCACAGCAGCCGAGTACCTGCGGATGGTCTGCGTGATGGACGTCTGGCGCTGCAGCGCCGGCCGCCGGAGCTCATGGTGGGACACGGGGACATGGGCCGTCTCGGCAGGCATACTCACACTCCGCAGGAAAGCCTGGCGTCTCAGGGGCTGCGCCGTGGGGTCACAGTGAGGAGGCTGGACGGGGCACACGCCCAGCCTCTGCCCAGCAGCGCCTACCTGGAAGAAGCCGGGTTCCTCTGTTGCTGGGGGCACCACAGCCGGGATGTCCAGCCTCAGCCAGGGCGGCTTCTTGCGCTGCAGGCTGCTTGTGCTGTCCCTGCGGGCCTCGCTCATGGCGCCGGGTGGGGCACGGCCAGCCTGGTGGGGGGGGGGGTGATTCAGTGCTGACGGACCTCTCAGGGGTCACTGGGCCCAGGGAGGGTCCTGGCCCCGATGCTGGAGTCCTCCTCTGTGCTCAGCACCGATCTGCTCCGTGCCCGCTTCACCCGTCCCTGGAGACACCGCCGGGGCACGAACTAGGCCCTCACAATACAAATCCATTCATGTCGAAAGAGAAATTCAGGACAAGTATTTGAGCATCTACGATGAGCCACTCCTAGGTGCTCAGGGACACACTGGTGGAGAAACAAGGAGACAAAAATAGACAAAATCCCTGCCTCCCTGGAGCTTACAGTCCAGACAATAAACCTGTAAGTACAGGGCGCCTGGTGGCTCGGTGGGCTAAGCGTCCGACTCTGGCTTTCGGCCGGGGGTCATGATCTCAGGGTCGTGGAACTGTGTCCCCGTCGGGCTCTGCGCTCAGCGCGGAGTCAGCTTCTCCCTCTCCCTCTGCTCGCCCGCCCCCCCGCTTGCACTCTCTCTCTCAAATGAGTAAATAAAATCTTAAAAAACAAACAAACTATAGGGGCGCCTGGGTGGCTCAGTCGGTTAAGCATGTGACTTCAGCTCAGGTCGTGATCTTCGGGTCCTGGGATGGACACCACGTTGGGGTCCACACTCAACAGGGAGCCTGCTTCTTCGCCCTCTGCCTCTGCCCCTCCCCCTACTTCTGCTCTCTCATTCTCTCCAATAAATAAATAAAATTTTGGAAAAAAAACACAAAAACCCGTAAGTAGAGACACCATGTTAAAATGTGACAAGTATGATAGGGAAAACATAGCACGCTACGGTTGCTGGGGCACGGATGTCTCCCTGGAAGGTGACATCTAGCAAAGACCTGAAGATGGTGATGGGGTGAACAAGGCCGCCGCAGAGTTGCTCCTCACACAGGGAACAGCCAGTGCGGAGATCTCAGCGAGTGTGAGCACACAGGCTGGGGGAGGGTCTCGCCCCAGTCTGTACATGGGGCAAAGCTCAAGCCTGTCTGACCCAGACCACACCCTCTTCCCCACCATGCCGGCTGCTCCGAAGACAGAAGGCCCCTGCACCCATGACAGGGGGTTGTGACCCCTGCATCTCACGGAGCAGTGGCCACGGGGCTTCCCTGCCCGGGAGCTCCCACCTGCAAGGGACGTTCTGAAAGCCGCCTGGGCGCGGATGCTGCCGGGACCACCAGGGGGCGTCGCGCACCCAGAAACAGTCACACGCCGCGCACCGCCCCCTCAGCATCTGGACCCAGAGCAGAAAGGCCAGGGCTTGATGTGGGCCTCCACTGCCTGGCCATGTGACGGTGAGGCAACGACTATGTGACCACGGCCTCTCTGGCACTCTACTCCCCCTTACAAAAGGTCACTTTCAGGGCAGCTCTGGTTGCCCCTCCCCAAAGAAGGACCACAGGGTCTCTGGACACGGGAGATCCAAAGCACACTGTTGTGGGGCATGGAGAGCAGGGGCGTGGCCGAGCAAGACTCGGAGGGAAGAGACCCCGAAATTCTTCCACTGCATCCAAGAGCTAGGGAACCAGACAGACTCTGAAATTCGGGTTGGGGGTTGCACCTGGGGGGCCTCTGACTTGGGCTCAGGTCATCATCTCAGGGTGCTAGAGCCCCGTGATGACGGGCTCCGCACTCAGCTTGTCCATCTGCCCCCCCACCACCACCACCCCCGCCCCCGCCCCTGCTCATACTCTCTCTCTCTCAAATTAATAAAATCTTAAAAAACAAAAACAATTCGGGTTTGGGAACCCACCCACGAACGCCTCCAGAAACAACCTCCCTTGCACTGCCTGAGGAGATGTAGAGAAAACCCCACCCCTGCCTTACAAATAGGCAAACTGAGTCCTAGAGAACAGGGGTTTGCCTTACCCGAGGTCACGTATTCGGGTGGCGTAACTAGACACAGGCCCAGGACGCTGCCCACAGCTCCTACTGGACTTACACAGAACAGGGAAGGCCGGAATTCTGTTCGGAGCAACTCCCAGCTCTTTACTGACCTGAGAAGGTCGACCTACACGGACCGGGAGGGCATGGAATGCTGAGAACAGCCCCTCCTGCCCCTCCACGAAACAGGGGCAGCCCCAGGTACTGAGCACAGCTCCTTCCGGCCCTGGACCCACCACTGGGCATCCACAGGTCGGGTGCCAGGGGGCTGGCCTCTCCAGGAGCACCCCCCGACACACACCACCACCCACACCCATGCCCCTACCAGCTCCCCCTGCCCCCGTGGGCCCCTCCTCACAGCTCCCGCCCACCTCAGGGCTCGAGTCACGCCCCGCCCCTGCACACGCATTCTGCCCAAGGACCCACAGCCTTAGTCAGGCTGGCCCCACCCCGACAGATGCTCCCAGCCCTGGCTCCCCGGGCACAGCTCAGGGCATCAGCCACGTGTGGGCTGTCCTGTGACTGCCGGGCCCACAGTGCCCAGGACAGGCCTGGTCCAGAGCCACTGTTTGGTAGACATTGGTTGGAGTGATGTGGGGTTCCTGAAAAAGAACCTTCGGCGGGGTCTGGGAGGAGTAGCTGACCACAAGCCGAGGTTGCGGCAGGGGGAGCCCAAGCCAAGAAGTGGGTAAAAGGGTGGTGAGGTACCCAGGGACTCTTCCCCAGCCCCTGCTAGCCTGGGCCTACAGTTGGCCCCAGGAACACAAGAACCACTGAGCTCATGAGGGAGGCACCAGATCCCTGCCCGTGTGCCCCAGATCTCCCGGGGTCCCTCACCTCCCCCCAAGTCCCTCCTGTTTTGGGGGTGGAGGCAGGAGGGTGCTCTGTAACCCACAGCGCTCCAGGATCCCCACCCTGCCCCCAGTGCTGCGGGGTCCCGGTCTGCCCCAGCCCTCTGTGCATAGTTTCCCATCTGGGCCTCAAGTGGGTGGGATCCACAAGGGGAGGGGTGCTCCACAGTGGGCCCCAGGGGTGTGGGGGAGGGGCGGGCCCAGAGGACAAAGAGTCTGGGCTGGGGAGGGGCACCGCGCCCACCCAGAGGGGACAGTGGCTCAGTGTCCAGGCCTCCCCCAGGCACACAGTGGGCTCTTGTTCCCAGACAGCTCCTCAGGGGGGAATCCCAACAGCATCTCTGCTCTGCTGACCCCCTCGGGGCAGGAAGAAACAGCAGCCCAGGGAGGGCCTGACTGCTCGGGGTCACGCATCATCTGAGTCACTCTGGTGACCGTCAAGGCTACCCACCCAGGGCCCAGCCCCATCAGGAGACCCCTAACTGGGCATCCGGAAGTGAGCTAGAAAGTGCTGACAACTGCTTAGCAAATGCTAAGGGTGGGGACCGGGCCCGGCAAGGGGGCACGAAGCAGGGGCAGACACGACACCCGGGCACTCCGGGCAGCACAGGACAAGCGTGGGGCTCATGACGAGGCCCCCGATGGGGCTGAGGGACGGAGGGCCCTGCAGGGTCACAGGACCACTAGGGCTGCTTTAAATGGATGGAGAGACCTAGGAGCAGCTACCTCCTCAGGGCAGTGGGCTGGGTGGGGAGCAGGGGCAGGTCCCACTGAAGCATGTTCCTGCCCTGGGGATGAGCGGGGGCCCTCCGGGCGGCCACACGCACCGACAGAAGACGGGCCGGGAAGCCACGGGAGAGCCTGGCCTGAGACACCGGGCAGACCCTGCTCACCTCTACCACCTGCAAGCCTCAATTTTTTCATCTGAAAATTAGGGGCCACAGCAGTGCCTGGCCCACAGAGGTGCTTGAGAAGCAGCGGCTGAACCAAACACCCGGGCTGGTCAATGCCTGCCGGCTCTGCAGGGCTCCCTGAGGGCAGCCCGCGGAGGAGAGGGGAGGGAAGCGCGGGGACCAGGCGCACATACGACCAGGACATTAGCCACAGGAGGCACCTGGCCGTGGGAGCCTTCGGAGATGCCCAGTTTGGTAGGGTGTAACCAAGAGGCAGGAGGAGACTCGGGAGCAGGTGTGGCCTGCCCCAGCCTGGACAGTGGCCAGAGCCACCGTGAGACTGGATCCTCAGGTGCGAGCGGTGGCCACCAAGGCACTCGGGCCTGCTCAGCCAGCTGGCAGGACGATGCCAGCAGGGGCGGCTGGAGGCTGCGTGGAGAGCCGGGATGGCCCAGCCCCAGGACAAGACCCACCAAGCCCCGGCCCCGCCCTGCCCAGGGGACCGCCCACCGCCAAGGTCAGCTGGAGCAATGGCCCCGCCCCAGGACACCTGCCCAGGCGTGTCCCCAGCTCACCGCAGCACAATCCCAATGCTCCAGCCTCCACACTAGAGCCCTGACCTCTGACCCCCCCCCACTCTTCTGTTTGACCCCTAATCTGATGCCCAACCCCCCGAAACGCCCTACGAGCGGGGATCACTAGCCGTGTGGCCTCCCAGAATCCAGGCCTTCACCACCCACATGCTACCGTGTAGCAAAGCAAGTCACCTGGCCTCGCTGTGCCTCTCTGTGCCTCTCTGTCTCATGTATAAATGGCATCATGCTAAAAACGGTACCGATCGAGTCCTCAGCCCTCCTCAAACCCTCCCAGACCTCGCCACTTCTCTGTGAAGGAAAAGAGGTCAGAGAGCATCAGGGCAGGCCCAAGACCTAGCTGATGGCCTGCACAGTGCCCTCTGCCCGTCCCCAAGGGGACACGTCCATCCCTACCTCCCCGTGTCACCCGTCACAGGACAGACATCACCCCAGACAGGTATGCAGAAGGCCAATAACAAAACAGGAGGCTCCCTGCTACAGGAGGCCCCGAAGGCACAGGAATCCCTAGTGATAATTACACTCCGGGACCTAACCAGGGAGGGTGCTGCAGAGGAGGCACTAACCCTGGGGAGGGCTACTGCCCAAAGGCTCAATAGGCATGTATGGACCTGGGGGTCCCCAACAACCAGAATCAAAGCCCTGGACCCCACTGGCTCTGGCAGGGGCTGAGAGGGTGAATACACCCCAGGTTGGGGAGCCCCAAAGCTCAGAGAGGTTGCAGGTCCGTGCCCCGCAGTCAGCCAGTCAGCAAGGCACAAG